GGCCTGACTGAATTAAGGGGGGCCAGCTCCAGTCATGCTTCAGTGATTCTCTATATAATCAACCAAATTTTTCCCACGAAAGGGGGGGGGGCGGGTCCTTCAGGCCCCCCCTGGATACGCCTATGGGTATTAACGGTGTATTTTGCATAACGTGTAATTGCGACACAGTTTACAAATATAAGAAAAATTAGTAAAAACCAAAATATATATGCTATTTTGCAAAAACCTTATGAAATCGTAAACGCAGAGTATATCAATTATCATCATGCTGATTTCACCCCCTTTCCCAATAAAAAAAGTAAAACATAATTTGTGATCATCATTCTGTTTGCGATGAAACAATTTAAAAGTTCTAACTAGTTATTTTTAAAGTTTAAATAGTGCAACTCCTTTTTGTTTGTTTGATATGCGTGCATTTAACTACATAAGTAATCGAATGAATTATTATTTGTTTCTCTTTAAGGTCTAATATAATAAATATATTCCTCCATATTTATTTTTTTTCTTTTAAATTTTGTTGTTGTTCAACTGTTTGAAGGTTTAGAACATATGAGCTAGATATTTTTTTATGTTTTAAATAGCGCAACCATTTTTATGTGCTTATTATTAAAACATTATGTCTTTCAAACTGAAATACTTTTTTTTTCTCTTTTAGGTCTACTATGAAATTCCTCGTGCTTATTTCATTCCTACTTGTAGTGGGCTGTGGACCAAATGAAGTTGACAGTCGACATAGTGTACCCGGTTATAGAGGTGCTGATGAAGGTGGAGGAGGATTTAAGTGTTCCTGTTGTTTCGACAGAGTACGTCGTTTTGGGTGCTGTGTTCCAACATGTGATGATTATTAAATGAAGTTGTTGAAGGAAAACAACTAAAGTATTCTTACAATGTATTAAAATTTTACAATAATACAATTAAAGTACGTCGTTTGTGGGTGCTGTGTTTCAACTTGTTGAAAGGAAAAAGTATTGTTATAATATATTAAAACTTTACAACATTACAATTAAACTGTTAATATTTATCCAAATATTGTATAGTGATTCTTGAGCAATAATGCTAGGAATCAAACTAAAAGAAAAAAGCTGAGCTATCAGAACATGTTCAGACTTCCAAAGATCTCCAGGTTATACAAGATCCTCATCCTTCTTTCTATTTTATGTCAAATATGATTAAAAAAACTTGGAACACGTTTTTTCTTGTCAAGTGTTTTCCTTGATTTCTGGAACATCACCAATTGCAAGGTCCAGGTATACCTTAGCGATGTCAAATATAATATCTCCCAGACAACCCCGTGGCAGAGTGAATTTGAGGTTTCAATTAAGGAGCATGTATCGCTCACCTGTTAAATTTGCATCATTTGATACAAAACAGTAACACTATTTCAAATAGTTTCAAACAAAAACGCCCAAAACATGTAATATCATCCTTGGAGGGCAATAACTCTTACAAGGAGACAACTGACGATTTCAGGAATATTGACTATTTTGATGTATTAGCCATGTCGATATTTTTGCTATTGACAGTTTCTCTACTATAGTTTACGCAAAAAAAACTTAGAATAGTTAAAAACGTCTTTCGGGGGCAATAAATCCTATAAGGAGACTGTTGATTTTGTTGATATTACCAAAAATGGACTAAACAGTTAAGGTTAATAATTTACAAAGGCAAGTAAAAGAACGCTATAACACGTAATTAAGATGATAAACAACGTCAGTAACTAGAATCTATACTTCAAGATCATCATGTACTATTTGTGAAGTTGACACGGAATATTTATCAACAAGGTCTTGGTATGTTTCGGTGAACTTTTAGAAAAAGGACGAGACGTTCTTTGACATAATGACCCTGGTTCATTAACTTTCTGCTCAGACACTGGTGACGACTTATAAAATCTGAGTAGCAGCTGCATGCTCTTGAATACCGAATGAGTTGTGAAATGTATATACCATATGCAGACGAAGATGGTATTTTGCTGTCATGGTGGGGAAAATTTATAATTTCAAAATTAAAATCGTCCCTTTTGTCGTAGATTCTGGTACTTAGATAACCGCTTACGTCAAATTCGAGGTATAAGTAAAAAAAATGATGCGGAGGAAGTGTGTCTGACGCTGCTGCCTTCCTTGGACATGGTCACCATTTTAGGCTCCCTCTGAGGAATTAAACCCAGTTATCCGTTCTGCCCTGGTAGGGATATCCCGTTCCACCTGAAGTTGATAGAGCAGACATTTAATAGATGCGGTGCTTCATGTATTAGCTCCACAATTACCACAGTTATTTTAGTAGGAGTAAAATTGAGAATGGAAATGGGGAATGTGTCAAAGAGACAACAACCCGACCATAGAACAGACAACAGCAGAAGGTCACCAACAGGTCTTCAATGCAGCGAGAAATTCCCGCACCCGGAGGCGTCCTTCAGCTGGACCCTAAACAAATATATATAACAATATGATATAAGGATCCAAAACAGATTTTACTATATAAAAGTGTTTTACTTAGACACACAATGCCTAATCTTTGAGACAAGCATATGACTTTGGCAGGATCAATCAGACTAGTAGACGCAACCTTATTTACTTCTCGGTGAGGACGAAGCCATGGGGCTTGGAAAGGGCCATTCAAAAGCTCATTCGTCCGTCGCTTGTCATTTCCGCCCCTTCTTTCTTCTACATCTACATAGGTAATCCGTAAAGAGTCGGTAGACTCTTTACGCGAATATGTTGAAATAAAGTTGTGGTGTCATCCAAAATGTGCTCTTTTAAAATCATATGTACAGGTGTTTTATAAAAAATAAAGGTACCAGTGCAGATAAAAACGCGTGTGTTGATTTACGGATATATGTGTGGTATGAGGTGGGTCCTGAATGCCTCATAGTCATCAATGTTCAATAGGCTAGGCAGTAGTTTCTTCCAGTTCGTGGTGGTTCTGGCTTTAGCAGGAGCAATTCTGCTGGAAATTCGGGGATGTGGACCACAGCTTATACTAGCTTATTGACTGATTGAAACGGAGATAGTGGATACCATATGTAAAAGCGCTATTTAAATATCTAAGTGAATAAAACCATAGACAGTGAAAACAATATATAATGTATTCAACAAGTACAACTTTTATCATGAAATCCAAATTTAGAGAAATGGAGCATTCATTAACATCATTATTACCCGTATTAAGTAGGCATGTGGCATATGCACTATCCTTGAAGGGCGATTTGGAAATGCATAACTTCAGTCCTCACTTAACAAATATGTACTGAATAAGCATCATGCAACTTATTAAATAAAGAAATATGAAATTTGGAGTTTAAACAAGGGGGATAACAATTACAAAATAATGATATCTGCCAACCCCCCCCCCTTTTAAGACAAACGATAAATTTCATAAATAAAGTCTGAAAACTTAAATAGCTATTACATTTATGTATCTTTATCAATAAGCACGCAAATGCAAATGTCATATAAAATATAAATATGAATAATTTGTAATGATTAAACATTAAAAAAAATATATATCAGTAAAAGTTAAATAATGAGACTGTTCAAGGGAGACCACAACACCAATCTGCTACAAGAAGCTATGTTTTCGTTGTTCAGTACTTTATCCTAATCTGACAAATCGTCTTCTTTTAACCATACACTACTAGAGCCATCTTAAGTAACTAGCTCAGCTGTTTACTACTTAATGCTGTCTTTTGTGTGGTCTTCCTGGTGGTAGCTACTTTGTGCAGGTTTGAACAGGAGCCACAGTGAGGTATATTTTTCATTGGCGTCCGTCGTCCATTAATATTTACAAAAATCGTTTTCTCTGAAACTACGCGGCCAGTTTAAACATAACTTTGGTTCAGTTTGTGGGTAAAAATTTTATTAAACACCAAACGCTTCCATAAAACCTTCAACAAATTTTACGAAACTTGGACAGAATTAAGCTTCTCCATGATCAAGAGCCAGCATGTAGAGAAATATCTAAACACACCAGTAGTTTTTTTTTTTTGTATCAAGGTAGCTGGAGTGTTTAAATGTTCGACGATAGATTTTTCTTAAACTTTTGCAAAAGACTTCTGTGTCAATTCACTTTCAAATTTCAATATAAAAAGTGGGTTATTTTTCGTTAGAATACATTGAATTTTAACGAAATAACAGTTATTCTTATATGAGTTATATCGGGGAGACATAATTTTTCCTTATATTGGTTAAAATTCAATTAGAGTCTGAGAATTGCTTTTTATAAATAATTCCAAAATATCAAAAAAAAAATAAGGGGCCATGAAGAAAAATAAAATAAAAAGAACCCACAAATTTTCCTATCAAATTCATTATAATTACCATCATTTTAAAAGGATTTCCTCTGAAAATTTTGAATACACTTAAAACATTTGTTTTTTTTTTTGATAGTTTAACCATAAAACAATTTTTGCAACATGCTCAGAAAAAGACACCCAATCTACCTTAAGTGAAAACTGGACAGTTATTTTTAACTAGCATTTAGACACGTTGTTTTTTAGACATCAATAATTCTATACGGAATTTTATGAAACTTTGACAGAAGCTTCTTGATGATCAAGTCAAGAGATAGCACCTTAAGCGAAATTTTGAAGATGCTTGTGTTATATTTTACCGATGCTTTTTTATATATTAAATTTAGATAGTCTGGGCTTAGTTTTTTGGGAAAATCAATACCTTTTGCAAACCTCCTTGAAATGGTAAGAAAATTGAACAGATAATTCTGCATTATCAGGAAATATAATCTGAAGAAAAAATCCGATTTTTTTTACATTTCTGTATTTTACTCATAATTGGGCTAAGCTTTTTTTTTTTGTTAAAAAGGTAAAATGTTTAAAGCATCAACAAACTTATCAAAACTTTCGATAGACACATGTATAGCTATCGACTTGGTTAGCGACTATATATAGCTTGCTCAATTGAGTTTTGAAGTGTAAAATTAGGGAAAAATGTTTATTTTTATTCTATTTTCATAATTTATCATATCACAATTTACTGCACCATTATCTTTATGTCACATGTAAACATGGTAGCTAAATCTTCCGTCACAGCAATACTAACAAATGTTTTCACTCTTGATATTTTGGTAAGTGTCACGTCATCATCGGTTGGTTTCCTGTAATCAAAATCAAATAAAGCATAAGTATGCTAGCATGACAAGTTGTCAGACTTTTGGTTTTGATCCTATAACTTAAACGAGATATATCTAGAAGGGAATAAGCGGGAACGGATTTTTCAGACGTTTAGGTTTTTTATTTGTTGATTTACTGATTGTTTTACATTGTGTGATCCATGAACAGGTTGCTATAATTTTGCAAGGCCTGCTGCTCAAGGTGGATCATCACTAAATATTTCCTCAGATAGAATTTTTTATACTTTGCCAAAATACAGATTTTACAATGCTTTTTTTCAAAAATATGATAAAAAGTAATGGTCACTGTGCTATTTTTTACCAAGCTACAAGTCGTGCAAAATTACCCAATTTTGCCTAGATTATTCATGAAAAAACACTTTTTGTGAATAAAAAAAATCTATGAGATAGACTTTTGAAATAAAAATATGAGAAGATAGGTTTTATAATAACGCTTTAAGAAAATAAAAAGAAAATATAATGTCACCGAACTTAAGTTAAATAAGCGATAATTCAACATGTTTTAGGAGTAAAAGCCCATGCATGACGATTTTGACCCATTTTGATATTTCTTTGTAGAAAATAATGGCAGAGAGAAAGAAACTGTAAGTATCATAAATGGTCAGAAAAAAAGATCTACAAATTATCGTTGAATAACGATTGTTACTAATGTTTATGTTATTTCTGAAGAAACTATAGATGAGTTGTTGGACAGAAATAGCAAAAATGATCATTCACATCATTTGGACTCTGGAGGATAATTGTCGCATTGGCACATCTCCTGATTTTTATATAATGGACAAGAAAAAACTTGGCCTGGGAAACATGATCAGAAATACATACATGTAGTCTCTAGTCTGTTTTCGGTAATCGAATATATGAAAGGTGGCTGGATGTAAATTACATCACACTTCGATTAAACACTAAACATAGAAATAGGCAGAAAATTAAAACCCCATGGTGATATTATTAAGCAACCAATACCTTTATTTGCATTCAAAGTTACCTGCACAATTTTAAAAGTTCAGGGTTATTTTTTTTGGTGCTTGCCTTTGAATTCACGAGACACAAAATAATATTAAAACATCTCAACATTTTTTTGTTTTATCTTTTATACAAAAAAAACGTAAAAAATCTTCATTTTCGTCTTTATTCAGATATTTTCAACGATCATCAGCACCGATCAGGTTTAGAACCTCAAGCATTTGACTCGCATGACAACTTTACCCACCGTTGGAATAGTCTAGGTAATCACACCTTACTGTGTCATTTTCTGCAGCACACTAGAATGTTTCAGACAATTTAAAAGCAAACGTACCACTTCCCTCAATAGATATAGAATATCAGACATAATATTCCATATCAGTCCTGGTATTACTCAAAGTCTTCCATATCAACTGGTAGAGTATTTTGATAACTTCTTAATGTCCAGTGGCAAGTATCACATGCATACTAAGAACGATGTCGTGTTAATATGAAATGAAAGTATCATGTTTTGTCGTATACAAACATGCTTAGTAATATAATAGGTTAGCACACATGTACATATCCCTAGGAAGACACACCATCCTTCTTAGACCCGATGTGTTATCTCTGAGCCGACCAGACTGTTGTCGCGTGCTTGGTAAAGAGGCAAATACCAATGTGAAAGTCTTTGTCTTGACCCAGCTTGGGATCGATTTCATGACGTTCTGCAGTCAAGGCGAATACTCTTCCAAGTGACTATCAAAGTGGCCAGGAGTTTTAAGAAAAGTATAATAAGGGGTAAAGGAATTCTACCAAGAAAGACTAGAATGAAGTGTCAAAATCTATCTACCATACATTTAAATTTATAGGTACATTCTTTATAATTTCATTGAGTGCATTAATTCTAAACTAACAGCAGATAAAGGGGATTACAGAAGACCCCTTTAAGACAAAGGGTCATCTCTTTAGCTAGTTTTTACAACGTTACATGTGAGGTCGTCGTTTATTGTTGTTATATCCAATTGAGATGTCCTGAAATCGTATTTGAACATTTTTTGTACCAAGGAAGTTTACGTCTATCCTCAACTAATAGCTAAGTTCTTCGATATCAACAATAAAAAACAATTAAAAACATTACATACTAGTATATCAAGACGCTGTGATTATTTGTTAGGTACTTACGCGTTTTCAATATGTTGCCTAGAAAGGGTCTTCCCGTTTTTACTTTGATGAGTTGAACAACTCTCTGCCTCAAACGTTAGGTCTTCATCGTTATCCATTAATGTGATTTCATAAACATACAATTGTTGGAAAGCGTAAGGATTTTCTCCAGTCTCTTTAAATTCTCTGTCGTAGAAGAAAACTACGGAGAAGTTGAAGTCTGGTTTGTTATCTATAAGACAGTAGAAACAACTAATGTGATACTTTGGATATATATATACTATACTGTTTAACATATTTGTTTTTCATTCATTATTTTGTACATATATTAGGCCGTTAGTTTTCTCGGTTGAATTGTTTTACTTTTGTCATTTCGGGGCCTTTTATAGATAACTATGCGGTATGGGCTTTGCTCATTGTTGAAGGCCGTACGGTGACCTATAATTGTTAATTTCTGTGTTATTTGGTCTCTTGTGGAGAGTTGTCTAATTGGCAATCATAACACATCTTCTTTTTTATATATAGAAAAAAATGGAAATCAGATCACATTTAGCTACACATACCAACCCGTTTGTAGACATCCGTTAAAGACTCGTGCCATTCGCGATGGAGTTGGTATAATACAGTTGTTAACAAATTATTCTGGGTATTTTTTTAATTAAGACATCACACTATTTCCCCTCATATGAAATCATATACGAAGTACCCTTATTTCCCCGTGGCAGTCCAGCTTTTTTTTGTATTTGTATTGGGATGGAAAAGCGTTGGCAGACGCACATTTTGTTTGAAGCCCGGAAGCACTTCGTACTAAAAATGTGTGCACGATAAAATATAATTTTGTAATGCTTTTCGATTGTTATCAGACAATGTGTGGATTCTTATGAAACACGCATATAATGTAATTTTAGATGTTTGAAATAGACATCCATAGAAAGTATGTTGCTATTTTTCTGCTGTAATTTTTCTCCACTTGTAAGACATATGCTTTGACAAATTAATTTAATCTAACAACGTTAATGAGTTGATTTACATATACCCCGATTCCGGAAAAAAACATGATATTTGGTTTTTATTGAAACTCTTCCTGTAATGATCTGGGTATAAATATATATATGATCACTAGAAAATCGTAAGATAAAAGGGGTCAATCATAAATTGTAAATCAAAGGACAAAAAAGAAAGAAAAGATACACAACATGATATACTACCCTTCCACAAAAAGGACCGTGAAAAGAGCAACACGGACTCTTACAAAAACATGAGTTTACCATAGGTGTTCTGAAAGAGTAGACAGCTGGTTGTCTACAAGTGTAAAGTACTACAAGATATTAAAAAAAATCGTTTGGAATATGGAAAAAACTCATTAAAGACACCAGACTATTAATTTGGTACGTCAGACCCGTATTTCGTCTTAACCGGACTCACCAATGGCGACTGAATCAAAACAGTTGCAGATGAAATCATATACGAAGTTGAAAAGCGCTGTTAATTTCAAATACATAAAATTTTTACCAAATATTGCTTATAAAAAGGGTGATGTGGTATAGTTGCCAGCAAAGAAATATTCACAAAGACCAAAGTCGTCATACCCAATTGATACAGAAACACATTGATTGTATTTAAAGAAAACAAAGTGAAATTTTATGTTTAGAGTCCGTGGTTTTCAACAGACAACGGCATTCCCACGGGAACAAATGGTGCTCCTTTCTTGTCGACATTTTCTCTTATTCATACAAGGCACTGTATACAAGAGTTTCTAAGGAAAAAATAAAAAGCAAGCAAGAATTATCCTTTAACTCCATGTTCCGCTATTTAGAAAATGTCCTCTCACTAGATAATTCGAAGTTCAACGCATCTTTACATTCGAACTTTAAATAAACGATACAACAAATACAGTTAAGTCTAGAAATTGAAAATGTGGTCGGTTGAGAACAAAACTTTACGACAACAGAGATGATCTCAGCTTCCCAATTGGTAACTTTCCATTTCTATGTAGCAACAATACAGCAGCGCCTGAATAGGGAGTATATATCTCCCAGTTGATATAGTATTTCGGAGCTTGCATTTCCTATCAAGATTTCCCTGATGGAGGATTCCTGTTAACAAGGTAACTATTAAACTATGTTGGTTGACCGTTACGGAATATATGTTTCACAGATGACGACGGATATGTTCCAATTGTGGGAACCATAATCCCGTCCCCCTTTCCTCGTATGTGACATCACCGAATTAGACTTATCACGAGTGTATACTTACATGTGAAACACGATGGGTATAACATATAGTTGAATAATAATACTTACCTAAACTTAGTGCTCTTTTGTTTGAATATAAATGAAAGTTAGCGATTCTTGTTGTCCGTTGTTTCTTACACTCTAATGGCACAGTCCATTTAGTTATTCCATGGTCAAGATACACTAATTTATTTGTATAAATGAGAAAGCTGTTCACAATCTGCAAAAATATATAAATCTTAATCATTGTTTGTTTGTTTGTAGTGCAAAACTAACACAACGTTACATCTGAAATTTACAGAAACATTTCGATCAGTCGAGAAAGGCTCATATTTTTGTCAAATCCTGAAGACTGTGACAATTCATTTTTTTAATAACTAAATATGTCCTGTTCTTGCAGGTGAAACATGAGAGTGTTTTGTATATATTATTGAGGAAATCACATATGTCCGTTACCATGGACGAAATGTACATCGTTTTAACCTTTAAAAGTAATCAATAATCTAACGAATAGCCAATGAAAATGTCGTTATATTGTCTCATGGTGCTTGAAATGCCAATTAAATTAACGCAGTTTTCGTATCACACTCTGTGCAGTGTGAAAAATCATTATCAATAAGCAGAAAGCGCGTGTGTATGGGTTAGGGGGTGGTGTGAGATTGGTAATGACTCTTTTTCATTGTTCTTGTGAAATGTAACAGTCGTCATGCGACTCTAACAGACGATATAAAACTTTCCATGTATATATGTATATAAACATGTACAAAAATTGTATTATTACTTCTATCACGAGTATTTGTTGAGGATGTTGATTCTTTTCGGACGTTGCATCTAAAAGTCGCCCGATCTCCAATCGTTTTGAGTATGTGTAATTTAGCTCAATGTCATTTAGGGAATCCGACAATTGAATATTGCCTATTTTTTATCCACAAAATTTTGCGCTAAGGCTCCAAAACCCATATTTTGGAGGACATGTGTTATTCTGTTATCTGCCATGTTTACGGGACGTGTTATGGTATACCGTCCGTCTGTTCGTCCGTCTGTCCGTCCGTCCGTCGTCAACATGTCGGACAATAACTCAAAAACGCTTTAACCAATTTGCATTGGTGACTTGTTTATATCTATCGACATGAGCTCCCTTTCGATTTTTACAAATTTTAGATTTTACGTTTCTGAGTTACGGGGTTTTATCCATTAAAAAAGGGTGATTTTCCAGTTTTCGGACAATAACTATAAAACACTTTTACCAATTTGCAAGAAACTTTGGTGAATGGTTTATATATATTGACATGAGCTCCCTTTTGATTTTTATAAATTTTATATTTTATGATTCCGAATTATGGGGTTTTATTCATTAAAATAGGGGGATTTTCCAGTTTTCGGACAATAACTCAAAAATGCTTTGAGCAGTTTTCATGAAACTTTGGTGAATTGTTTATATCTATTAACGTAAGCTCCCTTTCAATTTTTATAAATTGTAGATTTTACGATTCCGAGTTATGCGATTTTGTTCATAAATGAATGAAAAATGTGTCCATGGGACACAGATGATGCTCCCTCTTGCATATAAAGTTATGAAGGGACATAACTCAAGAACAGTAAAAGTGACACTACAAAAATTCGTACTTGATCTGAGTTTTGTGGTAATAAGCATTGTATATAAGATTCATAGCATTTGGTTGAGGCAAAGTAAAGTTTAAACCTTCTGCAATTGTTCGCATCTGTCCTAAGTCAGGAATCTGATGTTCAGTATTTGTCGTTTGTTGATGTGGTTCATAAGTGTTTCTCGGTTTCTCGGTTTTTATATAGAATAGACCGTTGGTTTTCCCGTTTGAATGGTTTTACACTAGTAATTTTTGGGGTCCTTTATAGTTTGCTGTGCGGTGTGAGCCAAGGCTCCGTGTTAAAGACCGTACTTTGACCTATAATGGTTTACTTTTATAAATTGTGACTTGGATGGAGAGTTGTCTCATTGGCACTCATATCACATCTTCTTATATCTAATTAGAGAACAGAAACGAACAATTCAGCAATTTTTTCCATTTGTAAAGGGACATAACTCTAGAACGGTAAAAGTGACGCTACCCAAATGCGTACTTGATCTGCGTTTTGTGGGAATAAGCATTCTTTTTAAGTTTCATAACATTTGGTTGAGGCAAACTTAAGTAAGAGAACGGAAACAAAAAATTCAGCAATTTTTCCATTTGTAAAGGGCTTAACTCTAGAACGGTAGAGGTGACGCCACCAAAATTCAAACTTGATCTGTGTTTTGTGGTAATGAGCATTGTATATAAGTTTCATGTCATTTGGCTGAGGAAAACTAAAGTTAGAGAACGGAAACCATCTTTTTGGACGTACGGACGTACAGACGGACAAGGGTAAAACTTAATGCCCCCTCGGCTACGGCGGGGGCATACAAGTTGGTGATTTCCCAATTTTCGGACAATATTTTTAAAGTGCTTTGAGCAGTTTTCATGAAACTTTGGTGACTGGTTTATATCTATGAAAATAACCTCCATTTAGTTTTTTTATAATTTTGATATGACATTGAGACGTTTTTGAACTTTATATTTATTTATGTAAATATAAAGTCCCTGATTGATTCAAATACCACAATTGGCAATTAATATAGGATTTCCAATAACATATTTAATATATAAGATATGTAGAACATACCGTAAATCAATTTAAAATTATGAAAGAACAATGCAAATCAATATAGAGTGTCATTAACGTATTAAAAAGTAGTTTCATATATATAAAATCTCGCAAAATTATGACCCATAGTTTTGGCATATCCACCTATACCCATTAATAGGAAGTTACACCCCTCGTGAATATTAGGCTACGTGAAGCTATACAAGACTTTAGATACATGCCTATTTTTCTTTGACATTTTACCAAAAATTTAGCCACGAATTATAAGAGGATTAAGTATATATTGAGAAATGCAATACACTATGAGCTAGAAGTAAAATATCAGCCATTTCCAAGATTAAAGGTAATGATTTAAAGATTAAAGTTTATAATTCCAAGATTAAAGTTGGAAATTCTAAGATTAAAGTTGATAATTCCAAGATTAAGTCGACAATTTGAAAAAAAAAGGATGGCCCTATTACGCTTCCGTAGTTTAGAGACATTCACAGAATATACAGTAAACATGGTTAATGTAGTAACAACATAATGTAATGCATATTGCACATAACAAAGAATAGCAATGACATATAGTACAATTGTCTAACAACACAAATAATTCTTTTGAAATAACACAGAGATGCAGTGTCAGGAAATAAAGGCAATTACATAATTATAAAGAAGAAATGACAGGACGTAAAGACAAAGCGACAAAACACATTTGATATTTACACTAAAAGACAGTTACGACGTTCCATAATTTTGCTTTAAAATAGAGATATTGCCGTGACGGTTTATTAATGTCACAAAACTTATATGATTATTGCATGTATTGTGCATGCTCCTGAATATAATCATTCTAAAAGGTCAGAAAAGATTGATAGTTTTTATTTTTTATTTACGGAGGTGACATATTTTAATTAGGAAACCATTTAACTATTGAGTACGTCTTTGGCAAGAGACACATCTTTTTGAAAGCAATACAAAATGGCGGCTTCCTTGGTATTTGAGTTTTTTTTTTAGTTAATCAAACTACTAGTATTACATGTATTATTTTTTTTATTATTATGCCTTTTAAACAAATCGTCAAAATTATGAAAACTCGAAAATATTTAGAAATGTTCGATAGATAAGTATTACAAGGACCTTATATAATGTTTGTTAACATTTTCTAGTATACTTACCGTTCTATTTGAAGAGCATGTTGTATAGTTCTGCCTAAAAACGACCAAATCGCTGAATATGGAACCATAGCAATTTGGTAAATTTATAACTATCTTGTCAGGTTGAATTGTGTCTGGATGTACGTATTTTAGTGATGTTAAATTTACCATAGCTAACCACCCACTGCTTGCACAGGAAACTCTGACTGTATCCATTACGGTAGCCACTTAATAAAGATTCATAAGTTAAAGCTACACTTGAGCATTGATGAAAGAGCATGTACAATTATTAATTATATTAATAGAGGTAAATATTCAAATATACCTTGAAATTGTGTTATATTCTTATCTCAGTTGATTTGGTGTTGGCTATAAAAACGACATTTACCGCTTTCATCATGAATAGTATATAAGAATGACTTATTAAAGAGGGTGGTAAACATGGTAAAGGGTTATTTTCGTGCAACGTGTTTTGTCATTTTTATTTCACGTGCAACCGTGAAAAAGGTTCGTTATTCACCGTGTTTCGTGAAATCGGTAAAAAACCAACGTGCAAGAAATTTTTAATTGTTTGTTCATCGTGAAATGGCAATGTTAATTTGCGTTCTTCCGTGCAGATACCCCCCTTTTTCACCCCTCATTCAAGAGCATACCAGATAAAATTATTTAGGGTAAGCGATACTAGTATTTGATATTGAGTACATGTAATTTGCCTTTTTATGTATACATTATTATTACGTAGCTTTATTTCAGAATTGACATCATGATTTCTAATTTTTATTAATACATTATCTCATTCGGATATTCTTGACACTGAGAGTTAATCAGCAAGTATTGTCTTAATTACAATTGTTAAATTAAAAGGGATATTAGATATGAATAATAGGAATCTTTTTTTGGTTCTCTAGATCACTTCCAAAATTAAGAACACGTTTCGAAATTCTATTTGATATTGGAGTGTGATAAAAAATATACAGATTTATGGCGATTTTAATGAAATGTTCGAGTAAGGACACAACCATATGTGAGTACTTATAGTTTTTTATGCGGAGGTATCTCACAAAATCTCATAATAGATACCAGGCTAAAAATCAAGTACGCCAGACGCGTGTTTTGTTCACAAAATTTTACTCAGAAGCTCTCGAATCAAGACAGATGGAAGCCCGAATCATTTACACTGTTGAAACAAAAACAAAAAAAGTAAGGACGTATCTGGAAAAGGATATTGGCTAATAATGCCAAGGTAAGACAGGCTTGGCTAGAGGTATAGGGGGAGGGTTGAGATCTCATAAACATGTTTAACCCCGCCGCATTTTTGCGCCTGTCCCAAGTCAGGAGCCTCTAGCCTTTGTCAGTCTTGTATTATTTTAAATTTTAGTTTCTTGTGTACAATTTGGAGTTTAGTATGGCGTTCATTATCACTGAACTATTATATATATTTGTTTAGGGGCCAGCTGAAGGACGCCTCCGGGTGCGGGAATTTCTCGCTGCATTGAAGACCTGTTGGTGACCTTCTGCTGTTGTCTGTTCTATGGTCGGGTTGTTGTCTCTTTGACACATTCCCCATTTCCATTCTCAATTTTATTAAGTGTTTCGAATGATTTTAGAATTTTATGAGCAGACTGTAGCAACGAGTTTTTAATCTGAAAATTTATGAAAAAACATATCAAAATTAATTTATTTGCGTATTTCCTTACCTGACCATGTTAGATTAAAGCCTTTTGATTCCTCCTGTTCGTTGGTTTTATACCTTATGTAAAATTTGTCGGAAAACAACAAGAACGACGTTCCTGAAAATCCCGAGAAATGTCCAAGAACTTGACCGTTAGGTTCATCATTTACCTTGTAAACACACACAGAGAAAAAAAAAATAAATTCATCAACAAATGTACTTACTCGAAAAAAATAAAGCCATAATATCATATTATTTCTAACATCGAATTTATTGAAATCTGCTGACCTCTAAATTTTATTAACATGTGTATAGTTAAGGAAGATATCAAATATAAAACCTTCAACGGTAAAATCCAGATTATATAATAACAATAAACATCAATTTCGTATAAAAGAAGTATATCGTAACAAATTCAGGTAGGCAATGAGAATAAAAGTCTTAGAGAGGTTTGCTTTTCACAAGAAAGATTTAAACTCTCTTTTGTTTTCTATGTTGTTTTTTTTTTTCTATTGCTGTTTTTATTTATATTGTCAGTTTGTCGTCGAATTATGAGTTTGAATATTGCTTTGGTATCTTCAGTCTCTCTTATATGTTATGAACGTAATTAACTCAAAATAGAATGAGACCAGTTGCGTCGACACACTTGAGATGTGGATATTTTTATGAGCATCACCGTTGCTATATTAGAGACCTGATAATTTACATTTAGGATCTTTGAAACAAAATGTACTACTATTATTTCTTATATAAACAATGCTACTATCAATCATCCTGATTTTTTCCATTAAAGATATGTCTTGAGAGTGATTTTAAATATAGTTATCTTTAAATCCGAGTTTGAATTACAACATAGTTGAAGAACATAAGATCTGAGTTTGAAATACAATATAACTGTGCAACACAAGTTATAAATAAATGTAATTGAAGGCTTTATGATTAATCCTACCAGTCTTTTATTTTGGGTTCTGGTGTATCGTATAGCCATATTAAAGCCCTATCAATTATTCACATCTTAATTGTTCACCACTGCTGTTGTCGTTTACATACATGCACGAATTGATCCGAGGTAAAATAAGTAAAAAAAATTGACCAGCAGTTGATAAAAAAAAACTATTTATACATTAAGGTACCTGAATATAGTCTCCGTCATCTGCCATCTGTAGATCCACGATTTCAATTTTATATATAGCCTTTTGAGGTTTGATTATGTATACACAGTCTATACCTGGTTTGTAAAACTGACTTCCATAATTTTCTGAAGTTATACTACCGGACCGTCCGAAGTAAAAGTGAACACAATCTGTAAAATAATGTGTAATTAGAATTATTTACCAAAAAAAAACCTAGGAAAAGGGTGAAATCCTGACAAAAACTGTCAAACATTTTCTCCAATTGGAATACATATAGGTTTTCGCAGCTGGGATGCTTGTATCTGTATCAGTATACAATTAGTTTGTGTGGAAATGAATTTAAAATATCATTATCCTATCTATGAAGTAAGTATGGCATTACTTCATTCATAATGTTACCAAAACTCTTTTTCAATGGATAATGTGCACGACGAAGATACAAAATATTGTTGTTAAGAATTATTTGTGATTTGGAGAAAAGTGAAAATTATGAAATAAATATAAAAAAATATGTTTATGTTGACTTAATATGTCGACTAAACATTACACTCTAAATTGATAAATAAAAAAAATAAGAAGATGTTGTATGAATGCCAATCAGACAACTTTCCACCAGAGACCAAATGACAGAGAATTTAACAACTATAGGTTACCGTACGGCCTTCAACAATGAGCAAAAGCCCATACCGCATACTCAGTCATAAAAAGTCCCGAAATGACAAATGTAAAACATTTCAAACGAGAAAACTAAAGGCCTGATTTATGTACATAATGGTGAACGAAAAACAAATATGATATACAGCAGCAAACGACAACCACTGAATTACAGGCTCCTGACTTGGGACCGGCACATACAGAATGTGGCGGGGTTAAACTAGTTTACTGGCGTCAAATCCTCCCCTTACCTCGGACAGTGGTGTAACAGTACAACATAAAAACAAACTATAAAAAGCAGTTGAAAAGGGCTTAACTCATCAGATCTTTTGTTTTGATTATGATTTTTTTTATTAAAATAAAAAATAGGATATATATAAAGAGCTGAACGATATTCTTAGGTCCCTGGTTATTAATTTGTTTTGTCCAATCGTTCCACATTTCCTTAATTTTTACATTCGTTACTGCAATTGTGTCTTTGTCTTGTCGAATTAAAGTTGCACAAAAGTCTTATTAATGAAAAAAAAAAGTTGTATTTGGGTAGAAATAACTTTCTTATGCTATTTCAAAAGATATTGCGACAAACGAGGTACCATTTGAAAGTATAGATAAGTAACAGGCATTTCCAAAACAATTGTTTTCAGCTAAAATGATACAACATGTACGTTTATATTACCATAAATGGCATACAAATGCTACAAATATATGTCTCAGACTTGTCATATTGACATATAATCAATTTGGAATATTTACCACTCATTCGATCATATACAATAGAACCAGCAATCATTCTTTAGGACACAATAATAGTAGTTTGAGACACAGTTTTGGAGGACGTATACGTGCTTTTCTATAAAAAAAACAAACTACCTACCTGGTTGCTGCAAAGCGTACTGTGCTAATTAAGAAACTAGAAAACGACGAAAAATTTTCAAAAGACTTTTGGCTGTCTCCTTTCTCGACTGTAAAGGAAAATACTAGATCAGGAATAAATTGAAGAAGGAAACCATTTTTGGGTTTAGGTAAGGTTCTTGAAAAGCATACTTGTCTTAACGTTAGCTCAAATTGATTACGACTGTGTCTTCACCTTAACGGTCTGTGCATAAACGTTCAGAAATGTTGCATTCAAAAGTTATATATTATGTAATGTGCAGAATTTTTGAAAAATGATCTAAATTTTCTTACCAACATTAGACAGTATCGTATGGTAACGTAACCATAGCATCTGAACTAACGATTTTATGACATTCAGTTGTCATTTTTCGGACTGACTTTGAACAGGAAATTTGAAACCAAAAATTTGATAGCCAGTTTTTTTTTTAAAAATACATAGAAACGTTAGGAGCTTTATGAAAAGAAGGAACTTGTTTGTTTAAAGCTGTGGTCAACATTTCCAATTTCCTCATCAAAGTTGACCGTAGATGAATTAAGATTATGTTTTTATGTCCCTTTTGGTCATGTAGCTCTTCATGTGTTTTGGTCTTTAAATGTACATCCCTTGCTTTAAATATTTTGATTTGAGCGTTCCCGATGAAGGTAAATCCAGAAAAGCGTTCTGAAACTTACTTTTCGTAGTTAATAATAGTTTTACTTCCCTCAGTTTTTTTTTTGTTGCCTTAGTTTGTCCCTTCCTAACCGAGTTACGAGCTTTGAACATGAAACTACTGTCGCCTTAACACATACCTTTATTATAGATTTCAGTGCTGGGGTATATGAGTTGAGCGCAACATTCGTTTGAGCAAATTATCTGTTGATGCGATGTTTCATGCTAGAATAATTGATATTTAAGCGAATTGATTGCACAACACAATGTACGTGAATGACATGCATGGCTTACTTGCCTCCAAAACATTTTACACGCGTAAACTGAAAGCTACAGATACCGGAATCTATTTTGGAAAATGTACACTGTGCAATATGCTCTTCCCATCCACCGCATGTTAACCCGTTTACTAAAAAGTCGGGTCCGTTGAAATCAAAAGGTTCATGACTAAAGATTGGTTTAGTGTCCCTACAAAAATAAAAATATGTTAAGATAAAATTAAAATTACTCTAAGACGGTACTGTTGGTTAATCCCTTAAAGTTATTTTAAGGATGCAAAGGATACCGCGTTTCTTAAAAAGAGCTGTATTATAAGGTTCTACGATGAATTGTATTCATAATCTACAAAAAATAAATATCTTACAAAGTTCGTTAAATGAAATGAATTTTGTTGTTTGTTATGAATACTCATATTACGTGACATATATAAGTTACTTAAAACTATCATAATTTAATATCAATTAGTCGACTCTCGCTTCAATATCAAGAGTAGACTCGTATTTTGCGCTCGATTTTGCTGTTATCCTCCCCATCATAATATACAAAAAAGTTGTAGCATGGTTGCCAATCAGACAACTATCCCATAGATGTTAGGAAATATAGGTCACAGCCTTCAACAAGGAGCAAGTCCTTACCGTATGATATGCTATATGAGGCTCCGCCATGACAAAATGTAAAACAATTCAAAAAAGAAAACCAAGGCCCAAATTTATGTACAAATCAACAAATTATTAACAAAAACAACCGCTGAATTACAGGCTTCTGACTTTGGACAGGTATATATAGGATGTGTTGGGGTTTAACATGCTTGCAGGCACCCAACTCCCCCTACACTGGGACAGTGCTGTAACAGCACAACATAAGAGATCTTGATACAAAACAAATTTACAGTTGATGTCGACAAAGAACGAATCTATACGACAACATAAACATGTCCCTGTTTGAATATGTTTGAGTCGCAATACTCAAGAGGCACCCGGATATTAAATGTCTATCTACCTGTTGATTTCAGTGGTGGTGTTGTGTATCATTATTTTCTTAATAGATGATTAATGCAGTAATTGAAGCTTTAAAAAAATGGTTCTTAATGGTATATGATGCCTCAATGTTTTACAGATTTTGGTGATAGTATTGGTACATTATTGCCTCATATAGCCACTAAACAAATCAACAATCATGACTGTCTCTCCATGTTTTCACCTCAACAAATGTGACTTAACACAAACATTTTAACTATTTAAGCAACACAGCGGGCATCGCCAAAGAAATAGGACTGTTCATATGAAACCTCTTAAAGAATAAAAGAAAAACATTTTACCAACTTCTATATATTCACTTTCGGATGCATTGATAATGCCTTGTTCATGTTGTTAATCAATAACCCAATTTTAAGTGAATGGTTGCATCTGATATATTTATACACGTAAACGTCATAGCTGTTAACTTCTATGTCATTTGGTCTCTGGTGGAGAGTTGTTTCATTGGCAATCATACCACATCTTCTTATTTTTATATCGAAATTAAGGATACTACCGAAAC